ACAGGGAAGGTGATTAATTGTTTTGCAGGGTGTTGTCTTTATTATCAACCAGAGCCTCCTAAACCCAGCTTGCTAGCTCTGTCTCAGCAACTGAGAGATTCTCTTGTAAACTTGTGAAAATAAATACTATATTGTTCAGCAGGATGTGTCTGATTGTCAGACTACGTCTCTGGAACTGGAGCTCAGTCACTGGGCTACAGGATAGGCTAACTCCCCAAAATGAATCCTGGAATGCCTGGTCAACGCATTTACATGTTTGTATTTTTCCACAATATATTGAATAATAATCACACACAATATCAATTTTGTTCACTTTATTTCACTAACTACTACTATTTTCAGAATTATTAAGATCAGAACCTGGAACTGGGCAGCTCTACCAAATTAGACTTAGCCACTCATCCTCAATAGGCCAATTAAATTGACAAACAATAGTGATAAGTAGAGGTGGAAGATTTTTCTGATATGGCCACACTGGGAAGAGGAACAAATAAAGAAGTCCAGTGGAATTGTCTGTGCTCCATTCTCAGAGCTCTGACATGAGGTTTAGGTTTAAGGTATAGTATTACCTGTCATTGACCTATCATTGATTTTTCTTTACTCCAATTTCTCTTGAAAGATGGTCAGACAGGTTATCAGAACTATATGAAGGGAGACACGTTCCTTAGTGTCTGGCACCAGACTTTAGCCTTTCCTTATCCCAGTGTGAGATTCCTGAAAATTCCAGTGACTTGGAGACCATTGTTCCAATAATCTTAGCATCAAAGAGAAGAAGCACAAATATCTCTGTAAAATATCTTCATTCTTGCAAGGAGGGCTCTACTACTGATTTCACTTGGTAGATATAGCCAATAGTAATCACTGGTTCTTTTGTTATAATCTTAATTATTAACTCTGAAATCACAGATTGTATTTCACATGGTACAGTAGTAAGTATATGGTAATATATACTACAGAGTGTCTTTGAACAAGTCAAAGAGGCATGCAGGGTTCAGTGGTGGCAAAGAGGCTATCTAGATGTAAGGAAAAGTTTCAGTAAAGAACCAGACAAGTAGTTTTACAAACCACAGCTATTCAAAACATAGATTGGCCAAATGCCAAGTATAGTGTCATTTGGATGTACCTCGTAGACAATGGAAACTCCTTGAGCTGGAGCCTGAGGACAAAGACAGAAGGTCTTTGCTGCAGCAATTTTCGAGGATGTGACAAAGGACTAGGTGATGGGTCAGTGCACCTTCTACATCTCAGACTTATATGCTCTGTTTTAACGTCTTAAGGGAGAGGCTGGTATCTGATATGACTGAAAAATTCATGAGTGGTGTTTCCAATATGATTCCATATATTAACATGTGTAATGATTTATTGGTACCAATACATTATTTATCAGTTTGTGCCTCATGATGGTGGTTGTTTACTTGAATAAACAAGTTTAATGGCAAACTGTCTGACTACTTAAGCTCAGAATATAGCAATTTAGGTTAAAACCGTTCCGTGAAGGCGAGAGGACTTAGTAGGTATAGGTTCTTGCTACTAAGTCTGATGACCTGAGTTCCATCCCTGTGATCCACCTAGTGGAAAGATAAAACCAATTGCCACAAACTGTCCTCTGACCTCTAGCTGAGTGCCATGGTATGCATGTGCCCTACACACACACACATACATGCACCACAAAATAAACTTTAAAGATGAAATAAGAAATTCTTGCTTTAGAAACTGTAGTATTTTAAGGATAGCATATCAGAAAGGTGCTGGTCTACACAGTTTAGGACACAGCTTGATATCCATACTCATATCCTGAATAGAGGGTAAGGAGCATGTGAAATGAATAAACAAGAACCAGAATTCATGCAGGACCTTGTCTGGTCTTGGCACTGCTGGGGAAAAAGCTGTAGGAAGACATTGACCAATGAGGTATTTCAAATGACTTTCCATAAAGCAGTGTACAGTGATTTGAATGCTCTTGGGTCATGGGAAGTGGTACTATTAGGAAGTGTAGCCTTGTTGAAGGAAATGTGTCACTGAATAGGTGGGTTTTGAGGGCTCCTAGTGCTCAAGCTTCACACAGTGCAGAAGAGAGAGTCTCCTTCTGGCTGCCTTCAGATCAAGAGGTAGAACTCCCAGGTCTGCCAGCACCATGTCTGCCTCCATGCTGCCATGCTTCCTGCCTTGATGATAATGAATTAAACCTCTGAAACTGTAAGCCAGCCACGATGAAATGTTTGCCTTTATAAGAGTTGCTGAGGTCAAGGTGTCTCTTTACAGCAATGAAATCCTAAGACACAGTAGTTCTTGACCTTTCTAATCTTGTGTCCATTTAATACAGTTACTCAGGTTGTGGTGACCCCCAGCCTTCATTGCTACTTCATAACTGTAATTTTGCTGCTGTTATACATCATAATGTAAACATATGATATGCAGCATCACATCCAAAGGTATTCCAATCCACAGGTTGAAACCTGGTGCTATAAATCATGAGGCCCAGGCTAGGGGATTTAATGTCTGCTCTGCCTGCATACTGCTCACTGCTGGCTCCTGGTCAGACACCACACAGGAAGAATAGAAGACTCTGGGTGGTCTTATAGACAGAAGCTCCAGAACCTTCCATCTGATGGTTTATCAAAGAAATGGCTGGTTCCTCATGCAATAGCCGTCGAATGAAGCTGGCTATATATTTAGCTTCCCATTCAAGTTGGACTTCTCTCTTAACTACAACCAGACAAGGAGGGTGTATCTAATGAAAGTCTTCTTTTTCTAGGAGTGGCAGGCACCAAGTCAAATAATTGCAACAAAACAAACCACAGAAGTAAACCTCAGCCCAAACAGAGGCAATAACAAAGGTCTTAATCTTTAGGGACCTGGGTTGTTGCACTTCTAAAACAAATACAGAATGCAACCACAAGAAGGAGACAGTTAGCAAATAACAAAGAGGTCTTAGAAATCACACATGCCACAGTGGAAAGTTGAAGATAAAGTCAGTGACTTCATCCAGGAACAAGAAAAGTTATGGAAAACAAGAGAGAAAAGGTATAGAGTCTTTAGGAGATAGATTCAAACTGACCAGCACTGGACTAATAAGAGTCCTATAAAGATAGAATAGGACTCACTGAAGCTATCCCAGGCAAAGAATATGTATTGTACTGGACAGACATGAGACTGACCTGAAGAAACCTGCAGCAAGGCACATCATTGAAAACTCTTTAGTTTCAAACAACCAAACAGGACAAAGTAAGACACAATGAAACAAAGCAAAAGCCCTCATATTCCACGCTTTGTCTCAATATGGGCCAAATCACCCACACTTTGATCTTCCTTGTTCATGAGCTTCATGTGATCTGTGAGTTGCATCTTGCGCATTTCAAGCTTCTGGGCTAATATCCAATTATCAGTGAGTACATACCATGTGTGTTCTTTTGTGATTGGGTTACCTCACTCAGGATGATATTTTCTAGTTCCATCCATTTACCTAAGAATTTCTCAAATTCGTTGTTTTTAATAGCTGAGTAATATTCCATTGTGTAAATATACCACATTTTCTGTATCTATTCCTCTGTTGACAGACATCTGGGTTCTTTCCAGCTTCTGGCTATTATAAATAAGGGTGCTATGAATATAGTGGAGCATGTGTCCTTATTATATGACAAAGCATGGGACAGAAACTGAAGGAGGGGTTGTCCAGAGACTGCTCCACCTGGGTATCCATCCCTTGTGCATTCACCAAAGGTAAACACTGATGTAGATGTCAGGAAGTGCATGCTGACAGGAGCCTGATACAGCTGTCTCCTTAAAGGTCTGCCAGAGCCTGAAATATACAGAGGCGGAAGCTCACAGCTAACCATTGAGCTGATCATGGGGTTCCCAATGGAGGAGTGAGAGAGAAGACTGAAGGAGCTGAAAGGGTTTGTGGCTCCATGAGGAAAGCAACAATACCAACCAACCAGAGCTCCCAGGGTCTAGACCACCAGCCTGGGAGCACATAGGGAGGGGCTTATGGCTCCAGCTGTATACATAGGGGAGGATGACAGTGTCAGGCATAGGTGGATGAGGAAGTCCTTGGTCCAGTGAAGCTAGATGCCCCAGTGTGGGTGAAATTGTGGGTGGGGAGGTGAGAGTTGGAGGATGGGTGGGGGCATATTCTCATAGAAGCAGGAGGAGGAGGGATGGGATAGGGGGCTTCTGGGTGGGGGGAAAGGGGATTACATTTGAAATGTAAAATGAAATATCCAATAAAAAAAGCCCTCATATCAAGTCTGGACAAGGCAATCCAATAGGAGGAACCTGTAAACCCCGGAGACAAGTGGTCTTGTCAATACTGTACCCAGATTGGTCAAGATGCCACCCTGTGTCCAGATGGACAGGCTTTAGAAAGACCAGGTTCAGCCCTCTGTACCTGTACTCTTTCTTGACCTCTAATGGAAGCAAGTCTGAGGATGGCTGAGTCCTCTTAGCTTTGTAGAAAGCTTTAGAATTCAAACATCATTAGATGTCCTAGTGATCAGCAGTTGCCTAGCAAGCATAAGGCTCTAGAGTGAGGGTTAGTTCTCAACCTGTAGGTCTTGACTGCTTTGGTAGTTAAATGACCTTTTCGCAGGGGTCACTTAAAGACTACCAGAAAACACGAGTATTTATTCTACAATTAAAAATAGAAGCAAAATTATAGTTATGAAGGAGCAATGAAAATGATTTTATGGTTGATGGTCACTATGACATAAGGAATATGACATAAGTGTAACAGCATTAAGAAGGCTGAGAACTGCTGATCTAAAGTTTATGTTCAAATCCCTAGTACTGCAAAACAGCAAATAAAATTTGCGTCAATATACTGATCCATTTGATTCTTACCCAGTGTGACTGTCACATTCCAGTTGTGTAGTGATCAAGAGTGGAATGGTCACTGCTGGCTACTTTATTCCATGTAGCTCAGCTTGACCTACTGCAGGTCCCGTTCTAGTCCCACAGATGGTTCCCCATTCTAATGCCATCCTGTTTCAATAATATTTCAGAGGAAAGAGGAGGAGGAGAGGAGGCGAGGGGAAGAACAGATTCGACTCCAAGAGGAGCAAAGGGCGAAGGAACTTTATTGGACCCTAAAGCAGGCCCAGCTGCACTGCCAAGCCAGTGAAAATGAAGATCGTGAATGGGAAGAACAGTGTGAGTTGGTCTGTGTCCTGGTCCTGGAGGCCTGCCCTCCAGCTCCTTCCCTGGTGGATGTGATTTGTCATCATTTCTGCTTCCTTCCTTACCATACAAGGCTAGACCCATGTACATGGCCCTGCTGGGATAAGGACTTGACACTCAGGAGTTTATGTGCCTGTCCTGGAGATGTCTTACATTAAAGAATGAAATATTACATTTACTGAGTTGCCAATAATTTCCTAACTCTATGCTGTTGTCTGAATTAGTGTTCTATTGCTATGAAGAGACACCATGACTCTTATAAAAGAAAGCATTAGAGTTTCAGAGGGTTAGTTCACAACCTTCATGACTGGAAGCAGACAGGCATGGTGATAGAGCAGTAGCTGAGAGTTGTGTGACCTGCAGGAAGCAGGCAGAAGGAACAGGAATATCTGTTAAAGATAGACAGAGACAGAGAGAAATCTACATAGAGCACAGAGTCAGAGAGACCGAGAGATAGACAGAGACCTCGAGATAGGCAGACAAAGACAGAGAGAGACAGAGACAGATAGAGAGACAGACAGACACTGGAACTGGAGTGGACTTCTGAAACCCCAAAGCACACCCCCAGTGACACACTTTCTCCAACAAGACCACACCTCCAGTCCTTCCCCAATAGTTCCACTAACTGGGAACCAAATGTTCAAACATATGAGCCTGTGGGGACTACTCTCATTTAAACCATCACAGCTGTGCTCTGGTGACTTCAGATATGGACACTTAGAGGCTTATCTTAGAGGTACTTCTAACCAGAGCAGATGGATATATGGATTCAGGGCTTTGAGGGAGAAAGTGTCACAAGGTTGGATGTCCTGGTGGGCTCTAAAGGAGTAGTATGAAGTGAACTTGGTGGCAGCTTAGGAATAATGGTAGCAAAGAACAGGTGGCAAACACTCAGGATTTGTGTTTGTGTTTCTGTGTGTATGCTTATATGCATATGGGTAACTATGGAGGTCAGAAGAGGATGTTAGATACCCTGAGGCTGGAATTATAGGTAGCTCTGAATGTTCTGACATGGGTGCTGGAAACTGATCTTTGTTCCTTTTCAAGGTCAGCAATCAATCTTAACCACTGAGTCATCTTTCCAGTCCCAAAGAGTGCACTTTAGACAGAGGCCAGCATGCATAAAGGCACAGTGACAATGGAATATTATAGGCTAAAAATGTTGTGTATGGAAACCCTGAGGATTGTCTGTTTCAACCAAGTCAAGTGGGAAAAACAAGGTGAAGCCAGGTTTGAAGGGTGATATTGTAATTTGTGCCCAGGAATTGTCGAGACCAGGTATGTTGTTATATTAGCAGAGATTTGACTCTTAAGATATCTTTACTTACAAAACCTAGGTACCAAGAAGTAACATAACACAAAATACAGGGTCACATAGGAAGCATCAGAATCAGTATGGTGCATGAATGAGGGTAAGACCCAGGCAGGAATATTTATTGAGATTGCAGGAAAAGCATGGCAGACAGATTTAGGATTGGCTGATGTGAACGGTTTTATGGGGCTGTTGAATGTAGGCAATGGCTCCGGTTGTCTGTATCTGGCCTCTAGAATGACTAGGGCAAATGGATGCTGGCCCAGGTGTAATGGCCAGGTGTAAAAGCTCCTCACTAGAGGCAGTGGCTTTTGTTTGGATTGTTTTCCAAACAAAAACCTGAAAGGCAGACCTTTTACTAACTCCAGTAGTTGGCTGACCCTGGGAGGATGGGACAGCCCTCCAGGATCAACAAGGGCTCAAATGTCAAAGCATCAGTAAACAAAATAGCAACTATGCTTGACCAGTACAGGGCAGGAGGGCCCTTCTATAGTTGAGTATGCGAATCTGTTAGGTCAGGGGGAGAATGAGTAGGGGTGGGTGTGGAGTGGGTGTGTGTTTGCAATCTGTATATTACAGATACTGCAACTAGAGCCAACAGTGGGAGTCAAGAGGTGAGGGTTCTCCTGGGAAGCCCTTTGCTTCTTAGTATGCTTTGACTGTATGAATATATGCCAGGTTCATTAAATAAACATTTTACAAAAAATAACATGTAATCTGTATATTGTAAAATTTGTCATTTTAGAGTGTATTATTAAGCATTTTCTTTAGTATACTTACAAAACTGTGAGCCCCCTCAACTATCTAATCACAGAAAATTTTATCACATCAGAAAGAAAATGTAACCATATTAGTGGTTCTCTTCCCTTGCTTCCAAACCACTAATCTAATGAGTTTCTCTGGATGTGCCTATTATAAGACACTTCTTAGAAACACAAAGATATAGAAGCTGGAGCCATGGCTCAGTGAGTAAGAGCACTGATTGCTCTTGTAGAGGACCTGAGTTCCCAGCCACCACATGATGGCCTACAACCATCTGTGAATCTAATTTCAGGGGATTGGATGCCCTTTTCTAGTATCTGAGCGCACTAGGCATGCAAGTGCTACATAGAAATACATGCTGGCAAAATACCTATAACATAAAATAAAATGTAAAAAAAGAAAAATATATTCTATGGCCCTTTATATCTGACTTCTTTAACTTAGCAGGTGTAAAGGTCTACTCATGTGATAGCATCTATAATTACCTCACCTCCTTTATGTCTGAATTCTTTAACTTAGCAGGTGTGAAGGTCCATTCATGTGGTTGAATTTATAATTACCTTACCTCCTTTATGTCTGTGTGATAATCCAGTCCATGCATATATCACATTTTTGTTTTGTCACTTAAAGGAAAGTGTCTTAAAGCCACTTAAGCACTGGCTTGTTTCTATATTGGGGCTGTTCTGGCTGCTGTAACAAATGCACATGTTTTTTGAAGACATATTTTCAATTCTCCAGGGTATTTCTGCGTCATATGGAGACCAAGTTTGGCATCTAGCTGAGCTATTTTCCAAGGTGACTGTCCATTCTCATCCCCACTGGTGCTGTCTGAGTTTTGCTTTCAGCAAAGCCCCCACTTCCACCTCTGCATTGGACATGGGTGCTGGGAACTGAATATGGATTCTCTGAAGAAACAGTCAGTGCGTTTAACCTCTCAGATACATCTCCCTTCTGCTTTCTTGATGGAGTCTTTGAAACATATTTTGGATTATGAGGAAATCCATTTTTTCATTCATTCATTCATTCGTTCATTCATTAATTTACTTTATATCCCAATTACAGCTTTTCCTCCCTCCAGTCCTTCCCTCTCTCCTCCTTTCTCCCATCCCTTCTGCCCTTTCTCCTCAGAGAAAGGGAGGCCTCCCATGGATAACAACCCACCTTGGCATATCAAGTTGCAATAGGGAAGTCCTGTTTTCTTTTCTTTCTTTACTTGTGAGTTTTGAAACATCCAAGAAACCCGTTATTTACTCCCAGGCCAGTGACTGACACCCTTCTCTCTTCTAAGAGATTTGCAGTTTTAGCTCTTATGTTTAGGCTTCTGCTATGTTTTAAGTTAATTTTTGTGTTAAATGACATTCCTGATTGACTCAGTTGTCAAAGTACCATTTATTGGAAGGGCTATCTTTTCAAAGCCCTTGGCACTCTTGTAGAAATAGTTACCCAAACCATGTCTGCCTCAGACTGCTCAGCTCTGTTCTGCTGACTTACTTATCTCTTCTTATGTCAGCAGCAGTCTTACAATGAAGAAAGCCTGGCAGTCAGCTTTGAAACTGGATATCGTAAGACCTTCATTGCTGTTCTTTATTGGAGTATTTTAATTATTCTGGGACCCTTTTATTTCCAAACAGATTTTAGGATCAGTCGGTCTACTTCTGAAATGAGAGCAGCTGGGATTTTGATAGGAACTGAATTGCATTTGTATTGAGAAGTGTTGCCATCTTCAAAATACTATCCTTAGTGTCAGGTGTGATGGGACACTGCCTGAAATCCCAGAGGAGGTTCAAAGCCAGCCTGGCCTCCACATCAAGTTCAAAGACATGCTCAGCTTGCATAGTGAACCTCTATTTTAAAAATAAAGAGTTGGCTAGGGTTGGGGGCTGGAAAAATGGCTCAGTCATTAAGAATACTTCCTACTCTTCTGTAGGACCTCGGTTTGGTTTCTAGTGTCTGTGTCAGGTGATAAATATGCACACATAGGGACATGTATACATGTAATTAAAATAATTATTAATATATAATAATTAAGGTAAATCACAAAAAACCCTAAGGTCATAGTGCAATAGTAAAATACTTGCCTAGCAAATATGAGGCCCTGGGTTCAACCTTTTAAGACTTCAAAAAAAATTAATCTTCTAATCCTTGAATTTGACAAGATAGCATTTTGTTTAAGTCTTATTTAATCTCCTTTAATGTTTTATAGTTATGCCCTTGTTTTGATAAATTGATTCCTATGAAGTAAATGGAATATATCTAGATTATACAGGCATAATATGCTGGCCCTTTAATTCACTTACTGGCTTATATGGATTAACTATAGATTTTTAGGAATTTTCTATACATAAGATAGCCTATACATAAAACTTTATATTTAAAAAGAGTTTTCCTTTTTCCTTTTTCCCAGAATGAGTATTTTTTTCTTCTCTTTATTTTTTTATATCCTCTCAATTCTTTTGTTTAAGGATATTTTTATTTAAAATTTTTTCATTTCACTATATTTTGATCATGTTTCTCTTCTCTCCTATCTTTTCCCAGACCCTCCAGTGTGCACAAGGCATGCAGTTTAAAGCCAGACTGGATCCCAGAATTGAGAGAGGGAAGTGGATAATGGGGTCCCACTCTTAACTAAGAAGCCATTGGCAATTGATACTCACTGGAAAAGGGAAAATCAGTTTTCTACAATGGAGTCTCGGTGGGGAAGTCAACCACTCTCCAGGGCAGGCCCCATGCCCAGGAGTATTTGCCCACCCCCCACCATATGCCAAAACGTAGTATTTTTTATTTCCTGGTCTTTTTGTTTCCTTTTGGCATTTTTCTGTCTTGTTGGGTTTTTTGTTTGTTTTGATTTAATCCACCTGACTTGTGAATTGTCCTGGTTGGAACTTGCAGTACTGAGTAG